GGGCGGTCCGCGGCGGACGCCGGCCACGAGCGCGCTCCGTGCGCACTTGGATCCGCAGTCCGGATCCGACCCGCAGCCCCGGCGCTCGAATGCGCGCCGTGTTTCCCCGCCGTCCCGCCGGCGCCGGAACGGCTCCTCATCCCGGAGCTGGGGCAGCCGGGAGAGCGTCGATCCACCCGTGCCAGGGCGCCGGAGGAGGCGGAGAAGCCTATCCGGGTTTGAACGGGGAACCCTGCGGACATTGTTCTTCGCACTCCACGGGGCTCGGCCAGACGTACTCCAAGCCGCAGACTTAATTACCACGTTGCTTAGACACCTTTGCTCCAGATCGCCCCCGTCTTCTGTTTTTACGGTAAACAGAGTTAGAGATAGCGTCCTATTGTTGGAGATAAGACCTATCTCCCTTGACACTTTCGCGTCTTCCGAGGCTGCTGGCTACTCCCCGACCTCCTGCCTCCTCGCCAGGATTGAAAGCCATAGAAAACGCTCACCGAGGGCCGCGGAGACACGCAGCCCCGCGCGAGCTCCCGGGGGCCCCCGGCTGCAGGGCCCTGAGGACGGGACGCTGGCAGACTTTCCGAGGCAGCTTGTGAGGAACATGTTGGTGACGTTCTGTTTTTGCATCTCTGTCCTGTCGTTTTCTAGGCACCTCCTCGATGCCTAGGCAAAGGCCTGGACAGAAAAACTGGAAGATCGTTGTAGGCAAACGGAAGAGGGTGGAAGTCTCCCTCCATCCGTTGTTTCATTTCGAGATCTCTTAAACATACAAACAGCAGTTTAAAATAGTTTAAAGCATGTCTGATCGGAGTAGAAAAGTAGAAGAAAAGCAAAACGCAACTGGAGCTCTAGTCTGTCGTGACAGGACTTGAGCTTGTGGTAATGTATAGACTACGGAGCATTTTTACACGTGTACACACAGAATAATTGAGCTGGAAAGTTGAAGATGACAGGATAAGTGACTCATGCAGTGTCATGTGGGATGTTTGTTAGTGGAAGGGATTAATTCACGCAGAACAGAAAAATAGACACCTTTAGATGTGCCTAACCTTTAAAGAGTCCAGATGGTTGACTTGTTTTGATGTCTCTTCCTTAGTTGTCTCCGACCTGATGGACTCTAGAACCCACAGCTTTAGGACTGAGTACAATCGGCCCTGGAGGAATCTAATTTCATAATTTAAAGGTATACCCAGTGCCACTAGCTCAGTCTGACCCGATTTGCCCTCTCTGCAGTCTCTGATAACTGTCATCATTCTTTCTTTCTTGACCTGTTCACTCTGAGTTTCCCTGCCATCCATGCCATCCCTCCAATGTCTCAGACTTGTCTTCCTCTAATGATTTTTGGGTTTATCTTCCTCTTAACTAATATGTCCACTAGGTTTCTCTTCATGCTTTGTAATTGTACAAAGGGGTTTCAATTCAGCATGTCAGTTTGTGTGCACAATACATCTTCATCAGTGTCACCTCTTTCAACATTTTTCCTCATCTTTCCCAACCCTACCCTTCCCCCTCGTCTCCATTTTTGATGATTCACCCCTTGGAGAGTTGCCACCTTTCACCTCAAAACCATGTTCCAAAGGCTTGTCTCCCTTCTGCTCATCATCACTTTTCCATCACCAACAGGATGCCCATAGTCATCTCAAACCCAGGTACGGTTTCTCCCCCAGAGTTAAGATTCTCTTTTCTCTGAAGTTGTATTGCTTTTGCTGCCTGTTTTAGGTCCCCAACTGGTAGTTCTCTTTGACTGCCTCTTGCCTGCAACTCCTACAGTTCTACTTGGCCCTTCTTGTTGTTCATAGTCAATTATTCCACCTCTTCCCTCTACAGTAGCCGCCTCACTGGCACGTCAATACTGCCGTTTCCTCCTCCAAATCCTCCTCCACCCAGCTGTTGTGCTTCCTAAAGTGCATTTCCCATGGTGCCACCCCCCTACTCAAGTCCCTTTAAATGACTCTCTACTGCCTACTGGGAAATGTCCAAAGTCAGATCCGATTTTGACCAAACCCAACTTTCCAGCCTTGTCATCCATTAAAAACCCTAAAACCCAAAAGAACCTACCCCAGCTCCCCAACAGGAATTTTATGATGTCTCAATAGGACTTGTCCATTCCACACATTTGCTCAAGAAATTCCTGGGCCCTGCGATCTCTCCCCTTTAAACTTGTCAAATTCCTATCCTTCCTTAAAGGATTTAATCAAATACCACATCCTCTGGAAAGAACCCACCAGGGTATGTGAATCCCTCTCTTCTTGGACCCTTTAACACTTTGAATCTAGTGACATATCATTCTGCCTAGCATCACTGTTGTTGTGATTATACTTGCCTCCTCCTCCTTTTCCTTCTCTTTTTTTTTCTCCTCCTCCCCCATCTTCTTCCCTTCCTCCAAGCCCCCTCCACTAGAAATTCTCTAGGCATCAGGATGACGCCTCCTCCATCTCTGTAGTCTCAAGATTACCCAGCAGTTCACTGGAAGCCTTCTGTCTCCCTAGAAGTTAGCTATGCCCATGAGTCAAGTAATGGTGTCATCTTTGGCTGATACAAGTACTACTGCTCATTTTTAAGGATTTATAGTTATTTTTCTGGTATTTATATAAATCATTACTAAATTACTTAAATTGCTCTTTTCCTGTAGGCGTCTACCCCAGGAACCAGGGACAGAGTCCTCTCCAATGTTTACCATTAGGCAATGGGTAAGAAATCAAATTACAGAAAGTCTACAGCTCCCTATAGCACTGACTCAAAATATCACATCAGAGCATACCACATTGGCCATTGTGGTCAGCTGCTAGGCTCTCAGGCAGATTTCATAAATAGTACTCCCAGTAGCTAAAGTGAACTCAAGAAAAAGAGACACTTCCCAAACCCTAATCAGTTACCATATCTAACATTAGCTCATACCAGTCAGAATATAGATGAACGAATGGATGGCAAAAAAAAAAATGTGTATGTCTTATCCTGAGATCAGTTGTGCCTCTTCCTCTCACCTTCAATTCAAATTTGAAAGCTATGTAAGAGACTGAAGCAGGATCATGGCAACTTCAAAGGAAACCTGGGATATTCAGCAAGACTGCCTCCCCCAAAAACTTAAAAACTT